TAAATGCCCATGATTCAGTAACTTTTACACACCTTATGCTAGAATATGGGTGTAGCTGGGAGTCATTCACAACCCACACTTTTATTTTTTCTTGCTGCTGTCTTTTTAATTTAGGTGTTTGTTTGTTTTTTACCCAGAATTCTCTTTGGTTGTGGATTGAATTTGCTGATCGTATCTCTTCTAACGCTATTAAAAACCTTTTTATCGACTGATCTTTTTCCTTAAAAGTAGTTGTTTGGTTCCTCTACCTGCGATGCAGCAAAAAGCAGTTTTATTTTGCAAAGAGGAACTTTATGTCGGTCTCGTTCAGGACAAGTTAAACGTTCATCCCCGCGGCTCGAGGCTTTGCAGCCCACTGGTACAAAGTGCTCCAGGGTCAGTTTTTGGAAGGAGAGACGCCTCTCTCCTTCCATCTTTTTGTTTGCCTGGTGCGTCTTGGGTCTGTGAAGTGGAGAGAAGAGTTGTGATGTGATTAGACGCTCTGTTAAAGTCATTTAGAGAAGCAGGAAACGTGACGTCTGCAGCTTTCTCACGTTGCTTTGGGTTTCCAGCAGGAACCTCTGCAGTTTATAGAGCTACAGAACTTTTTTTTTTATCAGTTTTTTATGAACCTGACACTTTGCATCATTCTCAGACTTGTCAATTGAGATTTAATCTAGGATGAATTTGGTTTATTATTTTGCATTTCTTTTGATTTCTCAGCTCCTGTTTGTCTCTGAGTGAGGAATACTTCATCCTCCCAGTTTCCCTCAGATATCACATGATAAAACCGTGGCTGTTTAACTTCGCAGCAGTCGTGCCGCAGAGAGTGATGAATATTTTGACAGTAATTGTGGCTAACTCCATCTGCCAAGCAAGCAGTAAAGACTTCTTTGTGACGTTATGGGGCGCTGAGTTGAATTTTTTTTGTACAGTTTTCTGCAGAAATGATCATCTGTACTAAGCTGACATGTGTCTAACTGCTGCTTATGCTTCAGTAAACTATAATGAGTTGATTCTTAGATGAAAGCTTGCAACTAGAAGGAAAAAATGCTCTCGTGTTTAGTTATTTTGTAGCTCTGAGGACATTCAATAGCCCGTGATTTACTGTGCGGCTCAGTTATCAGTCTGCATCTCTGACATAAAGAGCATCTGATGGGATGTTTTATTGATGCTGAGGTATTTAAGGCTCTTTATACAGCTGTGAGGAAAACAGTTTATGATAGCAGGAAGGTGCATTAGAGAGGGGTTACTGCAGTCTCTTGGGTGTCCATCCTCCTGCAGAGCAGCACGACCGGGTATGTCAGAGCCCCCTGCTCTGTGAAGGGGGTCACATGTTGAGATTTTTGTTTTGCTGATTTCTTCAGGGCAACAACTGCTGTGTAAAAAAATCATCTACTTTGCATATTTCTGAAGGTTTTCACCATTTTCTTTACAACCAGGAGCTATTTTGACTTCATTAAATTACTCAAAGGGACTAACAGTGAATTACAACATGGACATGTTTGCCACCCACATCTATTATAAATAACATCACACCATCTGTAACATTATGGCGAGACTCACTCAGTTTTACTTGTCTGACAGCCTGCAGAAAACCTGTGTTGTATATTTATATGTGGTTGTCTGTAAGACTGCATAGTATTAAAAATCATAACATAGTGATGATAAACTCATAATTCTTGAGTATCCTGTGTTTCACAGCTTTGTAAAGACAAATATGATGAAAAGTTGCGGGGTTTCCCTTTCTCCTGAAATGTTTGCATCATTATTAATAAGTTTGGTCAAAACTCAACAGTTGTGCCATATACCAAGCAAACTGCCTGTAAATAGACAAACAGATAGATTATTGATTTATTGGGAATCAAATGGTTCAGCTGGCAGTTAAAGAAATGATGGCTACATGACGTCTTGCTGGTTGTAATTGTTTTATTGTTATTGGAGACTGCAGGCCCCTATTATTATCCACCCAACTTGGGTTTCTTAACTTTATTCAGATCTTATACTCCTCTGTCAACTTTAATGCAGCCCGAATCACGTGTACCCCCACAAATTATATCAAAACGACCGGCTCGGCACTGTGATGTGTGCTATTGCATTTATTGGCGTTTTGAGTTACTATGGCGATGTATTTTGCTAACAAAGACCCCATATTTCCCCACAGGAAATGAATGAGAGGACACACACTAACTGCTGCTGTCAAGTCACTTGACTTAAAGTGTAGAGGTCCCTGAAGAAAACAGAAGCTCACTGTTGGGTTTGTTTGAAACACACAGAAAGTCATCATCAGATAAATGTCTATAACTGATTAACATTTGGAGCCATTTTGATTCAAGATGGCTGCCACAGCTACCTCAGCAAACACAAAATTGACTATAACTCAGTCATTCTTGGAGTTATTGAGCTGAAATTTGGTGAGGTTATAGCTGAGATCATTCCCTATCACATACTGAATCCAGATAAAAAAATTCTAGATTTCCACCTTAGATAAAAAGGAAAAATTATGATGAATCAGCCATTTTTAGAGCATGGACTTTTTTGGTTTTGAACCAGTTTGACATGACTGTCGACGAGGAAGAGGACCGGCATCGGAGGAGGGGGCATGCCAAAGTTTGTTCCACCTTGGAGTGAGCTGTTTGGGGGAAGAATCAGTTTTGTGTGTTTCCTTGACTGATGAAGCCTTCTGGATGGAAGGTGAAACGTTTCAGAAAAAAAAAAGAAAGTGTCCAGATGACCTGACTGACAATTGTTGCATTTTTAGAGCTGTTCAGCTCAAATTTGGTATAGTGGTAGCAACACTGTCAAATCACAATTTTAAGTTGGCAGCAGCCTGGCAGTCCCCATCAAAATTTCTCCAGGAACTTTCTATTATTATTTTACACTTGACTAGTTAAAAAATAAAAATAAAAAATTACCAAGTGTGTCTGAAAACCAACCATTGACAGCTCTGGAGTGTAATTTTGTTGTGCACCAAGCGGGTTGCAGAGTTGATTGACTTGTTCTGTCAGGTCCCTGAAATCCTCCGTGAAGATCTGTGAGAACTTCAGCTGTCATTTCTACAGTCTTTGCTGCAGAAACTTTGTTTCTCCAAGAGAAGCTTGTAAAAGTTGCGGCTAATTGTTGCACAGATGAATGCACTGCAGCAGCTGACAGTAACAGCTCTGCAGTTATTTTCAGAGTGCTAACATGAGCTACAGAGTCTGAGGGGCTGAAGGTAAAAATCTGAGAAGTGTTTAGTAACTTCACCAAGTTTAAGTTAACTCCCTCTCTCTCATGTGAAGCGTTTGCTTAAATCTTTACAAACTCACACATCTGTTAAATCTGATTCAGCTGCTAAATAAAATACACAGTTCAGTTCTTTCATGCCTTTTTAACATTTTCTTTCAACAGCATCATTTTCCAGCTGGCAGCATGCTTTAGATCAAACACTTGTTTTAACACACTGTATCATTATCTCTCCCCCCCCACACACACACACACACACCCTTCTGTGCTGATGCCTCAACACACTTTTTCATGCTGCCACACCACACTGAAGACCACAACAGAAAAGTGGGGTTCCTCAGGGTTCAGTTTGAGGTTGAGATCCTGATTAAAGATTGCAAAAATGGAAACTCGCCTTCAGCATCATCATCCTCAACACTGAGGACGCAAGGCAATTTAAGATCAACAAGATCTGCATTTCTATTCTCTGTTAGCGGCAGCCATGCTAGTTTTCTTACTCATTGTGTTTTCAGGCCTGTAACGCTCTGATGGCTGGCAGCTCCTCTCTGCAGAAAGAAACGGAGAGAAACTTTAGGTCAGACGTGGGGATAAGCGTAAATGCTGGAAACGTTGTATTCTCTAAAACAAATGACTCCCATTTGTAGAAAAACTGCCCCATGTAAAATGAGTTACTGTAAATGCTAGAAAAGTTTTGCCACTTGAAATAAATTACTGAACACTGTGTCCAACAGCTGCAGCATTTTTACCATAAATACTAGAAAAACTGCCTAAAATGAGTTGCCATAAATTTAAGAAGAGCTGCGTGTTAACTGATCATAGCAAACAGAGACTCAACTTGTACAAACAGAAGTTACAGCATTTATCTACATAGAAAATACGCAAAACAATGCACAACTAGCTTTAAGCGTTAACCTTTAATTTAACTATTAATCTTTCATAATTATGAAAGAAAATGGAGAATTTACCTGCAGTTTATTTCATACAGATGAACATGTAGTACTTCCTGTTTATCACTGTTGTATTCAGCTGATCATGGCTGACGGCCTTTATCATCTTTTACATTTTTCCAGACTCTGTTTAGGATTTTTAAACAAAATAAACTGCATTCCACTCTCTAAACACTCAGAGTAACGCTGTCTGAGTGACATGTTCCCCACTGACAACGTTTAACCATTTTTTTCTCTAATGATCTTTCACAAAATCCCTTTGACTGCAAAGCTTTTGCGATGTTAAACCCCGACAATGTTGTCTGAGGAAAGTGGGGTGCAGCTCCTGCAGGTAAGAGGCGTTTCACTTCAGGACAAATTGCGACCGCCGTTCGGTCAGTTGCTGACGCGCCTACTGGACTGATTGACAGGTGGCTTCATGTCAGTTGCACTTGCGTGAAAGATTTGGCAATTTTGTGTTTGAATGTCTTTCTTGACACAACGCGGAGTTGTACCTTCAACCTCAGATTTATAAAACTGCAGCACTGACCACTGAATCACTGCAGCCACAAAGAATTACTATAAATGCTGGAAAAGTTTCATTGGCGCCCTAAATACAAAACATGTGCATTATATATTGTGTGTCCATCTAATCCAGATAAGACTTAACTTGTTTTAAACCTGACTGCGCTCCACCAGTCAGGACTGAATCTCTTTTCTTATCAGAGCTTCTTGTTGTTTTTACCATCTGGACTTTGTTGACCTCAATGTATTAATGTTCACTGGTACAATAATATGAATGGAGAACTTTAGTAACAACCCCTTATTAATCTGGACTTCCCTCTCTTTGTGGCTCTTCTCCTCTCCCAGTGAGCAGAGTATCTGCCAGGCGCGGGCCTCTGTCATGGTCTACGATGACGCCAGTAAGAAGTGGGTGCCCATCAAGCCAGGGCAGCAAGGCTTCAGCCGCATTAACATCTACCACAACACTGCCAACAACACCTTCAGAGTGGTGGGGGTCAAACTGCAGGACCAGCAGGTGAGACTGCAGTGTCTGGTAACCTCAGGTAACCATGTTGCTTTTGCAGCCACCTTACAGTCCTTTTTGTTGTGCAGGTGGTGATCAACTACTCCATCGTGAAGGGTCTGAAGTACAACCAGGCCACCCCGACCTTCCATCAGTGGCGTGACGCTCGGCAGGTCTATGGGCTGAACTTTGCAAGTAAAGAGGAGGCCACCACTTTTTCTAACGCCATGCTGTTCGCCCTGAACGTCCTCAGCTCGCCTGACAGCGGAGGTAAGAGTCACTGTTCGAAAGGAGACGCTTTACATTTTTTATATCTGCAATGAACTCAGCTGCAGCTCATTTTATATAAAGTGCAAAACATGGTTTTAATTGGATGTCTGGTTATGCAAAAATTGAAAAACTTGAATTAAAAAAAGGGCATATACACAAATGCACCCTCCAGAAGATTATTGTTTTTTTAAATATAAATGGATGTCACCATTTTTAAGGGAAGTTTAAAATAATTTAATTCAGAATATAATTACTATGATTATATGATTAATTTAAATATATTTTTCTCTTTAAAATAATGTCAGAGGACATTTCCCTGTGACATCTTTAATATGAGGCAGCACGGTGGCGCAACTGGTAGAGCTGCTGCCTCTCAGTGAGAAGGTCCCTGGTTCAAACCCCGGTCCAGGGGCCTTTCTGGGTGGAGTTTGCATGTTCTCTCCGTGCATGCGTGGGTTTTCTCCGGGTACTCCGGTTTCCTCCCACAGTCCAAAAACATGCATGTTAGGCTGATTGGTAACTCTAAATTGTCCCTAGGTGTGAATGAGAGTGAATGGTTGTTTGTCTCTATGTGGCCCTGTGATGGACTTGCGACCCGTCCAGGGTGTACCCCGCCCCTCGCACAGTGATTGCTGGACATGGGCACCAGCGACCCCCGTGACCCAAAATGGAACAAACGGGTAAAGAAAATGGATGGATGGATGGATCTTTAATATGTAAAACATGGCCATGTAATGAGTTCACTGAATGTTGTGATGAGATTAAATCAAAACTCTACTGCCCCCTGGTGGTCACTGTTATGTACTGCAGCAACACTCCAAACCCAGCAGCATTCATAGTAGTGGTCTGGTTGCTTTCTATATAACTTTACTTTGTTTCTTTAAACTCAAGCATACATTTAGTTAAAATAGGTGTTTGTCTTTAGCAGATAATTAATGTGTGGTTAAATGAACACATATGTTGTATATGAATGGTAAATAAAGGAAGTTATAATCTTGAATTTTAACCATCCATCCATTATCGTTACCCACTTCTTCCTTTTTGGGTCAGGGGGGTCGCTGGTGCCCATGTCTAGCAGTCTCTGTACGAGAGCTGGGGGACACCCTGGACAGGTCTCCAGTCCATCACAGGGACACGTAGAGACAAACGAGACAAACAACCATTCACTCTCTCACTCACACCTAGAGACAATTTAGAGTTGCCAATCAGCCTAACATGCATGTTTTTGGTCTGTGGGAGGAAACTGGAGTACCTGGAGAAAACCCACGCATGCACGGAGAGAACATGCAAACTCCTCCTAGAAGGGTTCCAGGCCAGGATTTGGACCAGCGATCTCCTCGCTGAGAGGCAACAGCTCTACCAACTGCGCCACCGTGTCGCCTATCTTGAATTTTATTTGAAGCTAAATTTACACATACTCTTGGTGAACTAAACTGCTACTGAGCCTCTCTGATTACAGGCTACTTATATGCTGTGTGTGTGTGTGTGTAAGCGCAGTGTCATTTCATCCCATCCTTGTGACCCCTCTTTTCGGCAGCTAAAATATCTTGTGGAGCCTTACAGTCGTGCCCAACATGCCTACTGTGCAGGTTTTGTGTTTGTGGCATCTGAGCCTTGAATTCGAGGTGTATCTGTGCTAATCGTCGAGGCACTTATCGTTGTGGAATTAGGAACGCTTGCTCCTCATGCTGACTCCTGAGAGTTCGCCTTGTGACCTCAGACAGGTCTCTTCAGCCATCATCACCCTCAGTAAGTGTCCTCGCTGAAGAGGAATGTTTTCCAGTCAGGATTTGGTTATTTCATAGGAACTATTTTGTTGCATTTTGAGCCGTTTCTGTTTTGTTGCACTTAAATTCCACTACTTTTTATATTCAGTAGTCAACCTTTTTATACCTCGGATGCATCCTGATTAAAATAACCACTTATTGGATAAATGTTACATATAAAACATGCTGAGTATTAAAATTGCAGAGATCTTTTGCTCTTTACTTTTCAAATTTTTTTTTGTGAAACAATCTTCTGTGCTTCATAGATTTGTCCAGTTGTTCACACAAAACAAACAAAACAAAGATAAGTCAACTTATCTTTGTTTTTATAAAACTGACCTCAAATGTATCTTGTCAGACCTGAGCCAGTTTCATTGCACTGAAAAAACAATTGTGAGGACTTTTACTTGTAAAATGGTGTTTTTGCTTGCATTTAATAAATCCACACTGCTGACGTATATTTTATCAATGAACCCCTCATGGGCATCTGTGACCCCTGACCTCCTCAGACACGTGTTAATAAACATGCTTATCACTGTGGGAGTGTACTCTAATTGATTTAAGTGTCTGGTAAAGAATATTGAACAGCTTTAATCAGCCTCTCGTCTCAAACAGCTCACAGAGATTGAGTGTTTTACGTGGCAGAGAAGAAAGAAGTCCTGAATATATTTGAAAGTTTTGCACGTGGGGTGATGGTTGTGTTGAGCTAATGTTGCTCCTGCTGGAGCTTCATGGATGAATAATTCTAAACTGGAACACTGAGGATTATTGTGGAAGCACAGGTCACAGTAAAAATTAATTTGCACTTCAAGAAAACTAATTTACCTGTGAAAAATGGTGAAAGAATCTTATCCGTCTGCTTGTTTTTGGTTCCATTTTAGCTACTTCTAGCGTTCTATGGTTATAGTTGTGCACGTTTCTGGAGAAAATGACTAAACATGCAGAGAATAATTTATTTCCTTTAATGACAACAGTGCAACACACCTTGTTCTCCTGGGCTACAGCAAAACATCCGCAGGCCTGAACAGGCCCTGTCATCCCCTGAGCATCCTTCGCCATGGCAACCATCTGTATCATCACCACGTGGCACGAGCGTGAAAAGTTCCTCGCGTCTAAATCAATCACCTCTGCAGAAGGAAGGGATTGTTTTCAGAGGCTTGTTTCAAAGTTTGCCATGTATTTGAGAGCTCACATTTTGTTATGAGCGTGGCAGAATTTCTAAATCAGGCTCAGCTGGGGGTGTTTTTTGTTTTACCCCAGTTTGATTTTTTATTTTTTTATTTATTTAAGGCACTCCTTTGCTGGCAGAACAGATTATTACCACAAACTGGCAAGAAGATTTTAGAGAAGTGTCAGAAATTGAGGGGGGAAAAAAAGACACGTTTAAAGCACATTTTTATTTATTTGCATCTTATCAGAACACAAATGAATCCACCGACCAGTCTGAATGAGCCCGATTCATTAAAAAAAAAAGTAATTTCTGTGAATTTAAACCTGAAAATAAAAGATAGCTTTATTGTAGCGACTTTCTGCCGTCACTGAGATCCAAACTGAGCTGCTCAGATCCGTGACCATCCCTCCCACGCTCCAGAGACGGAAATATCAGCGCACGTGTGGCCCTGTTGTCACAGTGGGAGTTTAATGACTGGTGTTCTGCTGATGTGCGATAAGTGACGCTAAACTGGGCGAACCATCTGACGTGTTTTCTCACTCTGATATTCAACACCAGTGTTTAATCGTGGATCTGGTTTGGACGTTTCGGTGCCAGCCTCTCTGCTGTGGTTTGAAGCTCAGAGTCTGGTTGGTGACACGTTGAACAAGCTGCAGATCAACGTCTCAGAGCCTCACATGATGCGTCTCTCTGTTTTATATCAGATCTTGTTGCGTCCCGTTACTCTTTATGTTGCTTCAAACCATGTTAGATGAGTCTGAGCTGAAGGAGTTAAAGGTGGCTTTATTTTGCTTTCTGTGTCTTTTCAGGTCCAGTAGTTCAGCGCCAAAATGGACCCTCCTCAGAGGAAAGTGAAGCACAGAGGAGGTATGGCTCCAGCAAGAGAAAAATAAAAGAGAGGCTTGAAATGTTTATTTCGTTACGTAAAGGTCTGCGGTATTACAAATCTTTCAAATTCCCCCCGAACTGAGTTGTTCTCGCCTTCAGATGATCCTCTTTCTGAACTGTCTGAACAAGGCAGTGGGAAGAAGGGGGCCAGAGGGTGCTGCAGCACCCTTTGAAGGCTGCATAAGGGCATGCATGTCCAAATACACATGAAGATCTAATGAAAAAAGAAACGGGACAACATGTAATGCATTTAACTGCACATATATGGTGTTATGATGTTATTTATATGGGTGGTTAGGGTCATACACATAACCCAAGCTCAGACCTCCCCCACAACTAAAACAAGCTCCGATGTGTCTGAATCCAATTTGTTCACAATTCAGGTTCTTCTTCCGTTTTCTTGTTGACGTCACCCTGCAGCACATTTCAGCAGCGAGGAGCAAGCAGCTCCTTTACCCTCTGACCTTTTGTATCAGTGACGTTAGGGCCAGGCAGGTCGAGGAACACAAGGGTTTGAATAATTAAAGTAAACCGTGGGAACTAACTGATGGGGCGGCACCCAACACAAAACGCCAGGACTAAACACGAGGAGAAAGGATCTGACCACTGAAACTGAGAAACTGAGCAAAGCTTATACTGGGAGGGGTAGTAGGACTGAACACCAGGTGTGTGAGGCTGAGGAACCGGATGAGCTGAGGAAACGAAGGCGACAGAAGAATAACTCAAGCTCAGGAAATTATAAAAACACAATGATATCTCATGAAATGAAAACACTGCGCAGGTAAAGACAATGAATGATGAATTTAGGGATTTTTTTGTTTGTTTTTTTACACCAAACTGATGTGGACAAAACATGGACAAAGACAGGATTCACGTAGAGACTGTTGCACTATTGCTCCTGAATCTCCTTCAAAACCAATGTCTGACTCCTGGCTCCCTCACAACCATCATCTCCATCCCAGAAGGCTGTGGTGTCTTATTCAAAAAGAGGAAACTATTAAAAACTGCAAACGTACGAGTGCTTCCTTTGTGAGTTTTGGTAAAGTCATAAAGCTGCTCATTGTCCTCATTATATTTTACACACATTCTGGAGAAGTAAAAGACAAGATGTCATGTTTAGTCTGTTTCCTGTCCGTCATCACCTCTGCCCCTTCACCTGACGTCAGCTCAATGTGCTGAATCAGCTGGAAATGCTAACTTTTACAGGTTTGGCGTGGACAGAAGATGACTGTGCAGAAATGTTACCTATGAAAATGTGTTTTCTCTTTACGCACCAAAACTGGACCGACTTGTTCACTCCGTGCATAAAACTCAAGCCTCACGTCTAGTTTCTGTGACCTGTTGAACACTGTGGTCCTTTTACCTTTAACGACGGTGTCGAGCTGCACGTTTAAGAGTGACATCCTTCCACTTGATAGGATGATGGAGCAACATCAGATGCAGGCGCACAAGGAAAGGGAGCGACGGACGTCGGGATCAGGTGAGGCTTGAATAAACACGCCCGCACCCTGCCATATCAACATTCACTCTTCTTGACACACAGATAGATACAATGAAAATGCAAAATGAAAAGTGCATGCTACATGATCCAAGCTACGCAAACATCCCAAACAAAACACTTCGCCCATCAATAAACAGTCTTGGAAGCAAATTCATATTTGCTCAGCTATTTTTTTTTTTTTTTTTTTTACCTTAGCAGGTCAGGCACTTTTAACATTCCCAAAGCAAACAGGTGACCTCATCATTAATGATTACCAGACATTCCTGCATACAACAGTTCCCTGCTTTGTTTTCCTGCCTCACTGCGAGTCCCCAGTCTTTATCCATGCACACATATAAATGTTCAAGTCTGCTCTTTAAACGCACACACAGACTTAAACATCCTCCCTCCCTTATGTCGCTGGTAACCTCAGCGCCCCGTTGTCCCTGCAACATGCTCTACCGCCATCTCTTTCTTCCAGCTACTGTTGGGGGGGAAATGCCACATGCTCTCTGGTCATGGCTCAGTCATGTTGCATTCTGCTGCTTGTTCTTTTTTACGATATTTTTGACTCTTTGTTTGCTGTTGGCTTCTGTTTTTTGAATTGCTCCTGGTTTTTTCTCATCGTTACTTGCTTGATTTGTTCAGTTGCTTTTCATTATTCTCACGTTTTTCTCTTTTCTGTTCTCCTTTGTTTGTTGCCCTCCTTCCGTCTGCATCTCCTCTTCCTCTGTCTGCCTCTCTCTCTCTGCCCGTCGCAGTCGTTTCCACTCTCCAATATAAAGTGTCCCACCTGCCCGCCCACCCAGACACCCCTCCCGAGTACAGACAGTTCAGAGCTAACACACTGCCGCCCTCCTACGCCCGTGTGGCCTCCTCCTCCTCCCCCCCTTCCTCTGCCTCCATGTCTCCCTCACAGGAGAAAGAGGTGGGGGCTGCTAGGGACAAGGCCCAGCTCTCCTCCCAGCTCTCCACCTCGCTCGCCTCAGCCTTTTCCCCCGTCCAGGCAGGAGTGAGCACCCAGGGCCGACAGGTCCGTCAGATCCCCCTGTCTCCCCCCACAGCAGCCCGCCACCTCCAGCAGCAGCAGCAGCAAGACATCATGCTCCCCCCCAAACACGGCACCTGGTCTGCCTCCCACATGCAGCAAATGTACACCAACTGTCCCCCATCCTCAGTCATGATGGCCATGCCTGTAAAGCAGGGTTTGCCTCCACAGCCGGTCCTCCCTGTAGCCCACCCCCTCCAGCCTGTAAGCACTAGGATGAAGCCCCCTCCTCTTGATCCTAGCGCTGTGACGGGCCCTCACCAGTACCCCCACCCTCATGCCAACGGCCAGCCAGACGGTTCTTACTCTCCTCACTCTCAGCATCTCCCACTCACCCCGCAGTACTGCGAGGCCATCCCTATGCCTCCTCTGATAGGTCAGACAGGCCCCGCCCCCAACCTCCAGCCTCAGCAGCATCAGCAACAGCAGCAGCAGCAGCAGCAGGCGTACCACCAGCAGACCCCCACCACCACTTCATCCTCATCCTCATCCTCATCCTCCTCCTCGCCCCCCTCTTACACTGCCATGTCTGACGGGGGCTCCCCCAAGAAGACCCCCTCCCCTGTTCCCCAGCAGGCCCCTGTGGCCAGCAGCAGTAAGTATGAGGAGAGAGGAGGAGGTAGCCTCAGTAGAGGGGTGTTTCATGAGTTCAGTGCGTGTGTGTTATGAGTGTGTGTGACTGCACCACACCTTCACTGAGAAACATCTGCATGAAACAGACCTTAAACTGTCCTAACTCAGCCTGAGACCCACATTACGTTTACGCAATTAAGTTCTTTGTCAAATTTAATCTTGCAAAGCCCAGAAAGCTCTCTACCTGTAAAACCAGTTTGCCCTGACTTCAGTTCGTGAGGTTAGCGGGCTGAGAAGGATTTGTCTCAGAGACTAACAGATTGTAACATCTGTCGCTGAACTCGTTCTTCACGTTCCCCGAGTTTCACCTCCAGCCAGGTGTTATAACATTCAAAAGTTTAACTGTGTAAAAAGAGACAGCTGGTATCAGTTTTATTAAGACATAAAGACCTCCATCCACCTTAATTACCTCTAAATGGTGGCGTCAGTGATTGGTGTTAAACTTTTCAGAGTTTGAAGAACTGAAGAAGTTGAAAAGTGGCGGAAAATAACCACCCATATTTGATTTAATTAGCTAAAAGACATTAATTTCTGATATTTTTAGGAGATGTATGAGTTGCTTTATACACTAAAGGTGAGAGGGGTTTTTGATAGAGAAACCTCAGTGCAAATATAATTATTAAAAATAATAAAACATTACTCAACAGCAGGGTTATGGACCAAAACTTCTGCACACTTATAGTCCAGGCCTTTAAAGGGAAATGTAAGTCATAACACTAGGAGAAAACAGAGAAAGCAAAAAAGGTTTAACATATTTAAGTATCCATAAAAATATCAGACTATTGACCCATTAGAGTGAAGTTAGGTCGTGTTAGGTTTTGTATGGACTGAATTTATTATAATTTCCCACTAGTCTTCAAACAACTTTCCAAGTCATGAAACATGAGAATCAACCCAGATCCTAAATGACAAAGTTGTCGTTGGGTCCGTCCCAGGCGGTCCCGTCTCTGCAGGTCACCCAGCTATGCTTTCTGTGGCGCCCCCTCCAGCTGCAGTTCCAGCCCCCATGGCTGGTCCTCCAGCTCCACCGCCACCACCGGGACCACCACCCCCGATGGCAGTGCCACCTCCCATGCCCCCTCCGCTGCCCACCGGTGGAGGACCTCCCGGGGGCCCGCCCGGGGTGCAGCACCAACCCTCGGGACTGGCCGCTGCGCTGGCTGGAGCCAAACTACGCAAAGTGCACAGGGTGAGTTTTAGTTACCTGCTCGGGTTTATGTTATGAATATAACGGGGGGGGGGGGGGTGTCCAGGTGCTCTGACAGTAAAATGGTGACCTAATATTTACTCCAGGATGAGAGCGGCCTCCCTGGCTCCGGTGGAAAAAGTGACTCGAACCGATCGAGTGGCGGCAGCGGCGGCGGTGGGGAGGGACTGATGCAGGAGATGAACGCCTTACTAGCTCGCAGGTTGAACACCACACACTGAGACCGAAAAAACACATTCAACTTGTTTCTCTTCTGATTCTGGCACTTACTGTAACTGAACAGGATCAATAAGATCCCTTATTTATTCATTTATAATGCTGGAGATTTGTACGTGCTCATATTCTTATTTCCTCCTCCTCTCCCTTAGACGAAAAGCTTCAGAGAAACCCGATGAAGTGAGTCTGATGTCTTTAAACAAAAAAGAGTGGATAATTCATTAATTCAGAAGAAATTATGAGCAAATCAGAACTAATTTCATGCATGTTGAACATGTAATTTTAGCCGAGCTGTCCCGACAGCTTTAAACTTTCTGGAAAAACAGCACATTTAACTGATTTAAGTGTAGATGCTAAATGTTTTAATAAATATTTTATTAAAGAATTTTATCGTTTAAGCTGTTATTGATATGGGTCTGTCTTGCAGGATGATTCAAGTGGTCGAGGTCAACAGAACTCAACAGGTACAGATTAATTTAATCTATAGATTATAACGTCACCATCCGCTGCTGCATGTAAATCCACAGAAGTTCACAGGACATCACCTACACCAGATTTTAGTGTCAAAGCAGAAAGGTGCACTTCAAAACTTTATTTTACTCAGAAAATTAGACATAATCTAGCAAACTTGCACACACTGCAGACTTATCTATTTGTCGTTGATATCAGCGTCTGGGACTGTCGCAGATTGGCTCCAAGTGTGTGTCAGTCTCTAAAAATGTGCCTGAGCATGCTGCAAGTGTTGCAAAACAGACATTTGAACGTGTTGAAAAGCAAATCGTTACGTTTTTTTCCGTGAAACAGTTGAGTTTTTGAACTCGCGAGCGGCGCGGTTTGAATTGTGCGTCCATGTTTAATCATCGCCTTCACACGATTTGGTTTTTTTCTTGTTAGATGCTGTGAAGAAGCCGTGGGAACGATCCAACTCTGCGGAGAAGGCCTCGCTGGTGTCCAGGTGAGCAGAGAAGACCTTCAGTAATTATTGATTTAAAAAAAAAAAAGATGAATCAGAAACTCTCTGGCAGCAGAAAATTATGAATATTAGAGGACGTAAACAAAAGCCTTCAGTGTTTTATTCTCTGAAGTCGAGCTTTTTCTTCCAGAGTGAGACCGATTGGCAGCACCAGTGAAGCGGACACAGAGTTCGACAGGATGAAACAGGTTTTTTATTACCCAACCAAACAAGCTTGTTGTTTGTCTACCTTCCATGTTGGGTTGATAATCTTGACAAGTGGAACTTGTTTGCTTCTTGCCGTGCAGGAAATTTTAGACGAAGTCGTCCGCGAGTTGCACAAGGTGAAAGACGAAATCATTCATGGTAAGCAAGGCAGCGCCTCGTCAGCCTCGTCAGTGCTGCAGCTCGTCTCCTCTCCTAAAGGCGCATTTTGTTTCCTTGCAGCCATTAGACACGAAATTGGCCGAATCAGTACGTCCTAATCTCAACTGAGCGTGCAGGTGAAGAAGCGGGAGGAGGAGCTGATGGAGGACGGGGAACGCAGATGCACAGACGCGAGGACCCCGGGGAATGTTCTCCCAATGTTTCTGTGACCTGGCGATGCCACGGTGCAAGTTGCAGAGACGTTGTGCCAACATTTAAGTCTGCTGGACAGCACAAACGGACTCAAGAGAGCAAGGATTCATGGGAAACGAAGAACTGAAGGATTGACGTATGGATTGACTTAAACTGATGAACTAAGCGTTGAAGTGGACAGACATTTGTACTGAGTTTGGTGTTGTGGTCCTCTCTGTGCACCTAGACTCAGTCAGCCCAGTGTTGCAGCTTTTTGTTCTCTGTTCAGTCCACGTCTTAAAGAAATATTTTGGTTTTCTAAGTTTTTACTGTTTTATTATTTAAAGAAATGTGGTGATCAAAACGATAATGCTGTTGGTATTTTATTGATATTAGAGAAGGACAAAGGAATCTTGCACATTAACGTCAGCCTTTTCTATTTTCTATCATTACGTTTTTTTCTTTAGTTTATCCCCGACTTTTTCATAAGAAGCACAATTTGGGCATATTGGTGCTGAAGACCCACCTGCCCTTAAATAGCATATAAAAATATTGATAACCTTGCTCAGACTGGTGTTGTAGAACTCACCTTTTCTCTGCTGACAGGATTTAAAAAACTGCTTCAAATGCCTTTTACCTCTTCCATCCGAGGTAAAACACCAGAAATGAGCCTCTTTTCCACCAGTAAATAAAACATAAAGCAGTCTGCTCCATAACTCCAGTGTGATCGAGGCACATGTTTCTTTTATGTGTTCAGATAATGTGATTATTGAAATGTGTGGGGATCATTCAGAAAACAGGCTGATAACTGTAAATGTGCCACCTGGTTTTACCCACATATGGAACAATGTATTATCTATTAGTCATCCTATGCTTTGTGAACCTCCCGAGTATGCATGAAAACTCCGTCTCTATGAATTTGTTTTCTATTTGGTTCAAAACAAACAGCTGAAAATAAATATATCTTAATGGTGGTACATTTATTTGAGTGGTTTGTTTCTTTGAAGGTTCCCCCTTCCTTTATATGTCAAGTTAGTGTGAAAAAATACAAATGATGATAATGTGGCAATCATGAGGACGGTTCAAGGCTAATCTGTGATGGGAGCCAAACCTATTTTTACTGGAGGGATTTGGATAAATATCAGCTGTTGTATTGTCCCACACTTTTAGATAAATCACAAGTTATAAATAGATACAATTATTCCAACATATTCTGGGGCTGTTTCCATCATTATGCACTCATTTAATTGATTTATGAGCATTATTTGTGATAATGTTGAGGGTCAGAGTTTAGAAAGCACTGATGTAAAATATCGAGCTTTGAGTTTAAGGTTTTATCCACCAGAAACAAGTCTGTGGGTACAGGTTACTCCCACTGGTAGCACCTTAAGAATAAAGCACTATTCTTGGAAATCATTAACCATAAGTTGAAAAGATGTATTTATCTTTTCAGTCACAAGACGACCCAGCCCTAAAACATACAAAGGCTTTTTCATTTTACTTAAAAAAAAGGAACAAAGTTTAACTTAAGCAACATAATTTTGTATTGGAGATAACTTGAATCCTGCTCAGAAGACTAAAAAAAATTGTCTGATATTAGAAGCTAATAATCAAACTCTACAACTGTACATTTACTGACTTTACAGACATTTTATATCACTACTGGATTCAATACATCAATAAAAACATTGTGAAACCTTTGAGACTGGAAACTTGTGGACATGTCAAAGAGGAAATTGTGTAGGAACTTGAGTAATGGCTCATGGAACAAAAGAGCTCCTAGTTTTTATTTATTCTACATTCTGGTCTGATTGATCATTTGTGAGATGTGCCAGAGACCCAACCTACTGTGCAACAAGGAGAACCCACAATTCAAAAGCCACAGCCCTACAGGCACCACAGGAAACCCAGAGAGGTCCTGGTTTGGCTGCAGAATTTTAGGCTGGCGGGCTTTAAGTTCTGTCCTCTGAACATTGAACTACACTCGTAGTACTTAAATCGAGCACTGATAAAGCTTAGATTTTATTAACATCAACATTATTATTATTAACAACAGGTACTGATTGGTTTCAGACACTGGAGCAGTGGTTAACGAGGCGCTTCTTCAGAAGTCACCGCAAATCAGCAGTGCAGCATTTCAAAAATTACTATATAAACTGGTATTGAAAAAAATCAACAGAGCATCCACAACACAAACATAATGGAATATTATAGTCATATAAAAAATGTAACTAGAAAAAATAGATTTGTGATGGCTTTAGACAAAACAAACAAAAAAAATCAGATTATTTTGTGGTCAACACTCCAAACAAGCAGAACGAGGCGTCACAGAGAAAAAGGCTCTTCTTACTGAAATATAAGTTTCAATGCTCATTTTCCTCTTCAGCACTGCTCCGTGTGATAAATGGAAAACATTATTTTAGATCCTCACATTCAGTTTTGTTTTGTTTTTTTCTTATGGAGCCTGACAAATGCTCACAGGCAGGAACTCGCAGGAGGAAACAACCTCAGTCAAGCTTTAAGATAATACGTGCGACCTCGTGTCCTCGGGTTACAGATGGTGAAATGGTATGTTTTTTCACATTTTATTCTCATTGCCTTCTGGCTAAAAACAAACATCACTACCACTAATATTGTGGCAAATGGCCAACATTTCTTAAAGTGGGACTAAAAACGAAGAAAACCATCCAGCTTAATATCATTCACTAAGTGCTTCCAGGAATTAAGTGCACTTGCAGCTATAATGTGTAGTTCACCACAAAGTTAGACGAGGACACCAGTGGCTAAATGTTGAACATTTTGTTGGGTTTGCTGTCAGTGACATTACATCACATGAAGAAGACGGGAAAAACAAGCATTTATCTCACGAGATAAATGCTTGTTTTAGGATAAATGCTTGTTTAGAGACATTTATCTGTGGTTAGATGATTTTCAACAAGTGCAACTCACTTTTCTGTATAAATATGACATCAGATTTATTCCTGCTTGCTTAGCTTGTACTCCCGTTTGACTCGAGAATACAGACCGATGCTGTCGTCAAACACAAAGTCCCAGAGAACTCGAGCCCAGGAGTTGTGCTGAGGCAGGGAGTCGTAATACTCTGCTGCAATCTTTTTGACCTGCAGGACAGGAAGGCACAAAGAGGCGGTGTTAGTAAAACAACCACAAATGTTAAAAACTAATGAATACATGCTATTTAAATTCCAAATGTAAACTGCCAGAGAAATCATACGACCCTACAGAGGAGTATAATGTAGCAAGACTTTATTTTTCTAAAACAATCACGCTGGTAGCTATGAATATTAAGTCTCCACTAACACACGAAACAGAACTTCAATATAAATGTGAGGTGATCAATTACAAAGACTGCTATTTATTATGATAAATAGTTGATAGAAGAGTGATTTTTAATGTTTGCAAATCCTTGTTTTGTGTAATTACTGACACCTTATCAGCCGAGCCTTGCTCTAGATGAGACTTATATTACACCAATCAGCTCACAACAATCTTGGGGTAAAAATTATTCAAATATACATCTACCTGCTCAGCTAATAGTTTACAACAGAAAGTGGGACACACCTGAGGTAGTTTACTGCCAGGTATGCTGGGGAAGTCATGGTGCTCCATGTGATACCCTACGTTGAAGGTGATCCAGTTGAGTGGTCCATAGTATGAATAAGTCTCGTATCCCTTCAGAAACATGTAGTGTTCTGATATGAAATGTCCAGAGATGGGGTGCAGTCCCATGCCCAATATAGATCCAGCAATGAGGTAAACAACAGGCTTCAGCCCCCAAAAATAGAATATAACTGCATCTACTGCGAGCTGAACTAATGTATTCTGGATTTCCAGCAGACCCACTGGTTTTGGATTGACCACTAATGGCCGTATGGCATAAAAGAGAGGTTGGAGGAAAAGCCATAGGATCTTCCTAGCAGGGGTGCTGAAGAACCATCCTTCAAGGTCTGTAGGGATGTCAACATCCAGCTGATCACCACCCAGATACCGATGGTGGTCGATGTGGTACTTCTTGAAGGAGGCGGAGTAGGGCACCCCAATGGGCAAGTTGGCCCACATGGCAAACCAGCGGTTCAACTTTGCACGTCCGTTCCCAAACGCCACGTTGTGGGAAATGTCGTGAATGGCCAGAGTCAGGGAGTGGTTAATGCAGCCTCCGAAGGCGTAGGCCCAGAAGAAGACCCACTTCCATGAAAGATTGTGGACCAGGTAGCAGGCGACAAGTTGGGTTAGGACCATGCCGGACACCACCCACTTCAACTGGGGGTCTGGACCCATCAGAGTCTTGATCTCTGGATATTTGGCTGATAAACAGGAAAAACAGCAGAGATGAAAACATTAAGTGGCATAGGAACACTTAACAGGCATAAATTAAAGCCACATACAGTGCCTTGCGAAAGTATTCGGCCCCCTTGAACTGTTCATCCTTTTGCCACATTTCAGGCTTCAAACATAAAGATATAAAATTTAAATTTTTTGTGAAGAATCAACAAGTGGGACACAATCGTGAAGTGGAATGAAATTTATTGGATGTGTCGAACTTTTTTAACAAATAAAAAACTGAAAGTGGGGCGTGTAATATTATTCGGCCCCCTTGTGTTAATACTTTGTAGCGCCGCCTTTTGCTGCAGTTCCAGCTGCAAGTCTCTTGGGGTATGTCTCTGTCAGTTTTGCACATGGAGACACTGAAGTTCTTGCCCATTCTTTCTGCAAAACAGCTCGAGCTCAGTGAGGTTGGATGGAGAGCATTTGTGAACAGCAGTCTTCAGCTCTTTCCACAGATTCTCGATTGGATTCAGGTCTGGACTTTGACTTGGCCATTCCAACACCTGGATACGTTTATTTGTGAACCATTCCATTGTAGATTTGACTTTATGTTTTGGATCATTGTCTTGTTGGAAGATAAATCTCCGTCCCAGTCTCAGGTCTTTTGAAGACTCAAACAGGTTTTCTTCCAGAATGGTCCTGTATTTGGCCCCATCCATCTTCCCATCAATTCTGACCATCTTCCCCGTCCCTGCTGACAAAAAGCAGGCCCAAACCATGATGCTGCCACCACCATGTTTGACAGTGGGGATGGTGTGTTCAGGGTGATGAGCTGTGTTGCTTTTACACCAAACATATCGTTTTGCATTGTGGCCAAACAGTTGGATTTTGGTTTCATGTGACCAGAGCACCTTCTTCCACATGTTTGGTGTCTCCCAGGTGCTTGTGACAAACTTTAAACAACACTTTTTATGGATATCTTTGAGAAATGGCTTTCTTCTTGCCACTCTTCCACAAAGGCCAGATTTGTGCAGTGTACGACTGATTGTTTTCCTATGGACAGACTCTCCCACCTCAGCTGTAGATCTCTGCAGTTCATCCAGAGTGATCATGGGCCTCTTGGCTGCATCTCTGATCAGTCTTCTCCTTGTTCGAGATGAAAGTTTAGAGGGACAGCCGGGTCTTGGTAGATTTGCAGTGGTCTGATACTCCTTCCATTTCAATATGATTGCTTGCACAGTGCTCCTTGGGATGTTTAAAGCTTGGGAAATCTTTTTGTATCCAAATCCGGCTTTAAACTTCTCCATAACAGTATCTCGGACCTGCCTGGTGTGTTCCTTGGTCTTCATGATGCTCTCTGCGCTTTGAACAGAACCCTAAGACTATCACAGAGCAGGTGCATTTATACGGAGACTTGATTACACACAGGTGGATTCTATTTATCATCATCAGTCATTTGGGACAACATTGGATCATTCATAGATCCTCACTGAACTTCTGGAGTGAGTTTGCTGCACTGAAAGTAAAGGGGCCCAATAATATTGCACGCCCCACTTTTCAGTTTTTTATTTGTTAAAAAAGTTTGACACATCCAATAAATTTCATTCCACTTCACGATTGTGCCTCACTTGTTGTCGATTCTTCACAAAAAATTTAAATTTTATATCTTTATGTTTGAAGCCTGAAATGTGGCAAAAGGTTGAAAAGTTCAAGGGGGCCGAATACTTTCACAAGGCACTGTATGAGTTAATTATTCTAAGTCTAAATAGAATCATATATTTGTCTTAACAGCAGGAGAGATAGATGTTCACACTAATTTACTGCTAATTTCTACAGGTTGAGATGGTAATGTGGGATGTGTTTAAGGTACTTGCCCTTCTCATGGGAAAAACCAGCTAACAAAGATCAAGTTTAATTGGAAGAGGTTTTGTTTTGCTGGAGACAAAACGATACGCTGAGAATTACCGGAGACCAGCTAAGACTGCTTCATGTGATATAATCTACTCATTAGGACATGCAAGTTCAGATTTGTTATACAGACCACACCTCATAGACATTACAATGAAAGGTAGAAACGCGGCACGAGTAAATCAGAGGTAGAATTCATCAGAGAATTGCAGCAATCAGGAGCACACCTCATAAATCAGAGGCTGCTGTACACCATCTGGGGAAGTCACATGCAAATATGACCTGCCATTTTGTTTACAGCTTACTCTGTTTAACGCCTCTACAAAATTTAGCTTACCTTACGATAAATGAACTTTAAAAGGCCCTTAGGGGCACATTGAATGACTTTTCTGCCATTTTAATGCCTCTGCTTTATGAGCCAAACCCTCGTTTTTTGATTAATGTTTAGCGAAGAACAGTTTTCTGGTGCTCCTCTACTTTAAAAAAAAAACGATAATCTATCAAAATTAGGCTCCACGTGACCTAGATTGTAATTTACGCTCTATTACTTGACATAAATTCATCTAATGTGACACTTGCATTTCTTTTAAAAGTTAAAAGTGTTGTATTTGCCCACCTACAGGTGCATAAACTTTAATCAACAACCAGGCCTCATAAAAAGGCTGTTTGATCTGCTTAATGGCTCTGTGTGAAACACACACGGTGCAACTATTAATGGATTTCAACGTCAATGTTTCAGATAGAAAACATTTAATTTATCCATCTGTTAAATTATTAATAGGTCTCGTTGTCAGGTTTCAGCAGGAAAATTATCGATGCTTTAACAGGATTGTCCTGAAGTAATGTTGAGCCCTCATGAGTGTCACGTTGATTTATTGCCATGTGATGCGACATCACGAGCTACAGTCTTGGCAAATGTGGTGCCGTCCTTTGAACGTGTAGGAGGATATAAAGATTATGGCGTACAGAGTCACACAGCATGCCAGTCGGTTTGAATATGCACTTTTAAAATCAAAATATCCTTCACGGCATAACGAGGAATCTCTGATGTTATCTTTGACCTATCCTCATGGGGAAAACAGAGCATAATCAAGAACACTTTTTAATATTTAATGACTCAGAGGTGTCAATAAACACATCACCCATGAGATGCTTTCTGTTTTTCTCCACACCTGAGCAGCCGTGCGACAGGTGAACAAAGCCAGGATCAAATATACAAGAGCAGGTTGCCGCCTTGTCGATTTAAACTTTTCTTTTTTTTTTTTATGCGAAATCAAATTACACAACAAATCGTTTAACTGTGGCAAGTTTAGACATAAATAATCAAAGTCCTCTACATCTGCCAATAATTATTGTCTAAAAAACAAAAAGCATTTCTTGTAGGCTATGTCATAAAAAAGCAGAGCCTGAATGACGCCATTCTTTTCTTATCTACACATCTCCACTTTGACATGGCTTCTGTTGGAGCTACAGCTCATCTTCTCACCTCTTTCTAAGAAAAGATTACGAGTGTTTTAATCAACAAAACGTCACAAAAGGTAAATACAAGTTACAGTCAGTCAGGAGTGGCTGTGAGAAGGCCTGATAAATGTCACACCAGTTCTAAAAATAATATCAAAGTCAAAAGCAATCAATCCAGATAAAATTCATATAATCAGTTATTTTGTCAGCTAGCTGATATTGGCTACAAAACAAAAACATACGCTCTTAACCTACAATTTATAAATTTATAAAGAGCTTAAAATTATTTCTAGTTGTATTTAAATTGTAGACTTGTTCACTTTTAACTGTTAAAGACAAAAAAAAAAAAAAAAGACTGACATGTTTTTTATGCATCCACTGCGGACTGCGAGCCCGTTAGAGAAAACCCAGTAAACTGGTTTAACCGGATGTGGGTTCATAAGGAATACCGACTGACTTCAGGTTTCTCCAACCTCAAACTTCACGCCAACAAAAAGTTACCGCAGAGTCCCGCACGTCACTTAAAACCAGAGTTTCTCTCACCCAGGATTTCTTTTCTTCTCGAGGTGTGCGGCTGGTCCGTGTAGACCCATTCAAAGTCTCCTCTTCCACCTGTCTTCCCCATGGCTCTCCTGTCTCCGTGCGAGGCAACGGCCGCCGGAGAGGACTACTTGTCATCCAACCTTGGGAGTATCGGTACACACCCACACGCGCAGGTTGGATTGGGTCTGCCCCATTTATGTACCGGCGCAAGACAGAAGGCCAACCGAGCGGGGTACTCGCTCGTCTTGTACTTACTTGTAGCCGGCGCGTGCACCTGGAAAACCTAAAGGAGCAGACTCACTGAGAAGATGTGAGCACAAGCCCCGCCCCTAATTTTATAGTGGGAGGGGCAGAGTGCACCTGCAGACATGAGTTCAACGTTGGGCGTTATCACTTATCAGAAAGATAAGTTTTTAAATGTTAGCAGTGTTATTCCTCAAGATGGACAACACATGACGACAGATTAAAAAAAGTTGTTTGTTTCAATGGACTACATATGTAGTGCCTTTCTATCTTATCTGGATACTCAAAGCACTTTACACTACAATCTGTGCCCTCATTTACTCATTCATACATCATTTTACTATAACTATACAAAGACTAATCAGTGCGTTAGATCACATTCTTACACCGATTTGATACACATCGCAGGGACACTTCAGCATGTGACTGGTGGAATCGAACCCTCAACTCTCCCATTGAAGGATGTCTGCTCTAACCAGTCCCAGCTCAGGAAACTTTTACTCAGGACGCTTGTCTGACCTTGTTTGATATAAGATATATTTATCGTTAAATATCTATTGTTGACATTTGTTTAAAAATTAAACATTTCTGATGTGATGAACGCATCCTGCCAGAAATATCAACAATAAATGAGTGTTGCGTGACTCTCGAAAATCACATTGACTCTAGTTTGCATCATAACTACAATGTAAATAAGGTTTTTATTCTCTACAAATAATTTCCTGTTTACAAACTCAAGCGCTTGCTGTCTGAAAGTTCCTTTGTTAAAAACCAATACGAGTCATTTTTAGACAAAACATGACATGCTGTCCTTTGTTTCTCTTAGTGGACGGACTTATTGGAAGAAATACCGAATAGGAATACTTATACCGAAGCAGTTAGTAGTTTGAAAAGTTAATTGGATTAAATAAAATGTAATATATGTATTTTGAGGATGCAATCATTCATTCAACCTTTATTTATACAGGTTAGTCTCATTGAGCCTTGAGGACTCATTTACAAGAGAGACC